CAGTGTTTACAGTCATTTTTGTGGCTGAAATCTCATCTCTTTTTGATTGAAATATGGGTCCTGCACTCGATTGTATTATATTGGCAAGTGATAACTGTGTTACACTTGCACCTCCAGTGTATCCGAGTCCCCGATAAGCCTTCGGTGGTTGTCCCATTGACAATATCTTGTCCAAGCTTTTTGTACCAGTGTTTAGCATTCTGATTTTCTTGTGATTGTCATCTAACTCCCTCAACAGCCCTTTTGCCTTCTCTTCTTCCTTGGTGCATGCTTCCATAATGCGTTTGACATTCGCTTCAAGGACTCTGTTTCTTTATTTCTCACTCTCCAGTTGTTTCTTGAGGTTCTCGATTTCATCAATGACTTCTGTTGAGTTCTCTTCTTCACCATCCATTTTTTTTCACCTCTTTTGCACTCCAGAATATTCAGCTGAGATTTCATAATAGCCATGTCTTTAATAAGTTGCAGGTTTTCATTACTCAGAGATACATTCTTGTTGTAGAGATCACTGTATTCTTGAGTGAGATCAAAGTCACTGTCATCATTTGAGTCTGACACTTTTTTTGTATCTGTTTTCTTGATGTGCTCATCTTGGGCTGTGAATGCAACAAAGTTAAGCATAAGCTCCTGACTAGGTTCATCACTATCCCCCAATTCAATGTCACTGAAAACAACCAATGACTTATTTTTCAAAATACTTGGACATTCAGCTCTAGTATGACCATAACCACAACACTCAGGGCATTTCAACTCCTTTCTCTTTGTCAGAGGACATTCATTCTTAAAATGACCAAAATCCTCACACTTATGACATTGCATCTCCCTTTTTCTTCCAGAACGATCACCTTCAGACCTCGGTCCTCTGTCTGAATCATTCCGTTAGCTCCTTCTAAATATTCTGTTTTGTTCTTTCTCAACTCTTTTCAGCATTTTGTTGAAGTTCCTTGCCACCAGACTCATATTGTCTTCAATCTGTTTCACTCTATCTTTATCAGCTTCTGCAGCAAATGCGATTCCCTTGTGACTGACTGGTTCTTCAGCTGATGCTTCCATATATTCTGCTTTAAGCATTCCACACAAACGATCATACTTCATATCATCTGTGTTCATGGAGTATTTTAGGACTGCCTTATGTGCAGCATATTTAGGTGGTAGACACCTTAGAAGCCTTTTGACTAACTTCTTTTCTTTGTATTTCTTTCCAAAAACTAATGCTTCATTTGCTATTGTACTGATCTTTGCAGTGAAGCTTGAAATGGATTCATCCTTACCCATCCTGATATTTTCGAGCTGTGATGCTAAATGATCTATGCGAGTTCTTCTAACAAGTGTATCCCAAGCCTCCTTAGCGGTCTCACATCCTTGTATAATTTTGAACTGATCAAGATCTACGGCTCCGAATATGGCTGGCATTGCCTTATAGTTGAACTTGGATGCATTCTTATCTGCCTCTGTCCATTTTTCTTTCGGTTTTGGCTTCACGGTAGTTTTAGATGGTATATTCTTGTCTTCAGACTTTTCTTCAGCCAAGATCGTAGGTACCTCCCAACCTTCAACAACCGACGTCCACGCATTTTCATCAATGCCACGAATGATATGTTACATTCGTGCCTTCCAATGTCCAAAGTTTCCTGCATCAAGTATTACTGGTCTCTGAACCGCAATGAGCTCCTTCATAGTATCTATGATTGCCACAAGATCTCAACATGTTGTTTAGATCAGTCAATCTAAAAAGTGACCTGCTCTGATACCAAATGTTAAACCAAGGATCCTAGAAGCTTATGCAAATCAGAACTTAGCAGGAAAAATATGTAACTGAAACAATACTTTACTAGATATCGCTCAAAAAATCTTTGCAGACTTGTTTAATCAGAATTATACACCGTTACACAATCCTAAAGACCTGTAATGTGACACTGACCAATTTCTAACCTACCCACATAACAACAGCTGTGTTTGCTCTATGATCTCCTAAACTCTCTTCCGATACACATAGTTCTCTATCCCGTTTTAGTGCTAACCCTAACATCACCATATATATATACTCTTTTAGGCACGCCACACTTGCCAAGTCTTCTATGCATCACATATTCACCTGCTGTCGAATATGGCAACTTCAATATCTTCCTTGATTCCCACGTATTCAGTTGTTGTAGCACTCATGTCTTCGCGCCTCATGTGTTTGACACACTTTCCAGATGTTCCACGATTCTCCATCTTACAATAACTACCAAAATACTATATTTGTAAGGAAAATATACCTTCTTGTCATCGAATCTGCTTTTTTCTTCCCCCAACACTTTCTCAAGAATGTATTTGTCCCTAGACGACTGCCAACAAAGTAGAGGGCATGGTAAAGTGAGTGGATTGTTCTCAAGTTTGCCAAATTTTTCTCCCAATACCGGGACCGACTCATAGACCCATATAATCAATGCATGCACACATCCATGGAAGGTGTTGCTATTTCCTCCCAAAGGTACCACTTTGATGGATGTAATCATCTTCTTAAAACTGACCCTCCCCCATGGATAACTCTCAAAAGCTTCGTCATCCATAACTCTCTTAGCGCAGTTCAAAGGAAGACGACTATTCCGATTAATACCGAATATCTCAACTTGCAGTATGAACAGCAATGCAAGCATCTTCTTCATCTGATACGACCAAGTTTTGCATCTTCCAAATACCTCAACCAGCTTATGCCAATTTGGCCCTACACCTGCATTCACTCCAAACTCTCCCCACAATTTGTTGTGATCTATGTCCCACGGTTCATCCCACATAGGCTGACAATTAAGCCTGGATATCTCTTCAAACTCGTGGAGCGAAAACCGCACTGGAGGCCCATCGATAAGCTCCCAAATCTCGTAACTTCGATCAATAGCATGTTGGTTTATTGCTATGTTATGGACTGTTTTTTCTGCCCATACGTACTTCTTCTCTGCAAGACTCAATACCACTCCTACTTGAGAATTGTTCCTTATGTCATTGCAGAAATCCTCACCAACAGCCTCTTTCAACATCCCAAAATCCGTCAAATGACAATAGTTGTTCAAACTACTCTTCTGAACAGGAGATTTTCGCGGGGAAAATAATCGGGGTGGGTATTTCAGCTTCTCCCCACTCTTCGCGCTTGAAGACGCCATCCACTAAGCTGCAAAAGTAAACACATATCTCATAAAAAAACTCTACCAACACAGAGCAACAAGTCAACCACAGAGCAAACAAGTCTACCATTATAGAGCAAATAAGTCTACCAACACAGAGCAAAGAAGTCTACTAACAAATGTCTGTACCATCAAGTCTACCAACACGTTTACCATAAAAAAAACAAGTTTACCATCGCAGAGAAAATAAGTCTACCACCATAGAGCAAAGAAGTCTACCAACAAACCATCACAATACAAGTTTACCACCAAACAACAAATCCTTATCCTCATGTCTACCATCAATACACAACAAACTCAACTCAAGTTTCACTCATGCCAAGAAAAAACAAAGATCCAAGGGAAAACACCCAATGGGAAGAAGAAACCAAAAATAGATCTAGAAAAACTAGATCTAAAGATTCTGGATCTAAAACATCAAGGAAAACAGAAAAGAAGAAAAAAACAAGAAATGAAATACGAAGAGGAAACCAAATCCAACTGACATCGGAGTTATGGAAGCCTCCAATCACGGGTCGAGTGAAAACGGAGGCTAGGGCAAAAGGAGGGAGAAAACGAGAGGGAATGAAATAACTCATATATTCTATACTACTATATTTTTCTACAATAATTTTTATCATTATTAATAATAGAAATAAAACAAAAGATTTTTTTGATTTGGACTCATAGGAGAAATGGCATGTACAACATCAAGTCAGGTTATTGGTTGTGTTGCAGGATTAACAAAGAGTAGATTCTACATGAGGCTGAGGCTGAGTCATTTCTAAACGGAATAAAATCAAATTTTGTGAGTTTAAAACAATGCTGAAAGTTAAAGCATTTATTTGGAGAGCTGTTTCTAAGGCACTGGCACTGTCAGATCATATTTTTCCCATGCTATGTATATTTATATGCATTGCCAAATTTGTGTTTTCAAAGAGTCTATAGACCATACTTCTCACTTGCATAAAAGTGCGAGATTTTTCAGGCCTCTATGAAACTGTCCTATGTCGAAGAATGGTTGTAACCAGGTGTATGAGAACTTTGACAATGTGTCTGAGACATGGGACACTGTATCTGCTCCTATAGAAGCTCTCCTTTTGAATTCATTAAATTATATGGAAGAATGGAAACAAATTATCTTTGAGGGAAAGTGTTTTGAAGCTCATGAAATTGTTTAGAAAATTAATGATCTTATTTGATTGTTTTTAACTCAGGTTAAAGGATTGAAAGTCGAGCCTCACATGCAATCTACTATTAGTACGATTACCAATATGTGATCTGGTCCATCTGAAGGATGGCGTAATTGTAACGCAGGGTACTCGGGGTCAAAATGGAAGAAGTTGAGTGGTGCAGCCTGGATAGTGCAGGACCAATGTGGACAAGTTCATTCTCATAGCCAGAGAGCTTTGAGATCGATTATATTGTACGTTACATGCAAAACAAAAAGTATGATGTGGGGGTATTAAAAGTATGAGTAGCTTAATAATTAAAGAACCGCAATGGTTGAGACTTGAGAAATCTCTTTCATAATGAACTAAGTCTTACCACTGCGTAATGATTTCTTTCATAATGTACTCTGTTTTTAATATAAAACTAAACAAACTATTCAACGGTTAAAAAAAGAGACAGAATATCCACGCATATTCTTATAGTAAACAACTGATAGTTTGAAAATAATCTTCATTTTTTATGGTCGAATTAACAAAGCAGGTGAAAAAAAAATACAAACTAGATAAACAAAAGATGTATCTTGCATAACGTTTCCTAATTTCTTAACCATCAAACTCTTCAAAATCTACTAGAGAACAGAATATATAAAATCAATTAGATTAGCCGACATATTTATTTGTATGATTTGCTTTTATATCAAATATTTGATATATGTATAAATTATTACGCGCGGAATAATCACTAGTTAAGAAGATACCACCTTAGCCGTGGCTTTCGTTTGCTTGTTTGTATTAGTAAATTTAAAAATAAAAACCGAGACCAGAAAATAAGCAGAAGTAGTATACATTAGTTATAACACAACACACAAACCATCATTAACCATATCAAATGTCTTAAGAGAAGAACAACACCCCATGGGCCATGTCTTCTACGACTTGTTCATGCATACAGGTTTCAATATTCTCTTCTTCATCAGCTCCTTCTTCTTCACTCTTGCTCTTCTTAGAGTTTTCCCTCTATGTTTTACCATCAACCAAAGTCAGTAAATCCAAAATGAACAGCGATTGTAAATTCCAAAAACGTATTGATACAATATTTAGAAACTGATAGATGCTTACATAAAATGCATGTTGAGATGCGTGGTGAAACCTTCAGAGCTTTGGCCACCAAAATCGCATACTGAGCAAGACCAGGGAGACTCACCCGTTTCACTGCACTTGTCCTGAAGAACAAGTCTGGCAGACCCTGAATCCATTTCATCTGTGGGGGAAAATAAATAACACTCGAGTGAGAAACATCTTTGCTGATTATTTAAATTTCAAGATCTAGAGTCGTGTGTGAGAGAGGAGAAACACCTTCCAGTAAGCTTTTCCAAAGCCACTCTTTTTCAACAATAACAGGAATGCATTTCCAGAGCCAGTCTGGAGCAGGATCTCGTAGAGGATATGCCAGAAGAATTGTGTATCCCTCAAAGAGTAAAGATTGTGAAGTGTAGAAAATAAGCATTCCAGTTGAGAAGGACCAGATATGAGCATAAAAGTAGCCGGAGATGGATTATGATGGGCCCACTTCAACAAAACCCCTTCAACTTCTGTTTCAATAAAGGAAAACAGCGTCGCTGAATCTAAACCTTAATTAAAAACAAAAAAAAAACAAATACTTGGTACTACAGTTAATAAAGAGATGAAAGAAGATTCACCGTGGGCGTGATTAAGAGCGATTCCAGTGGAAGAGAGCTCTCGCAGGACGTTGGCACCAGGTGTCTGTGTTAGTAGGTTGCCACAGACAGAGAAGGTCAAAGAACCAGAGCAGCCTGATTTTCTCAACGCAGATTCAATACTCGGACGAACAAGAAAAGGATTATAACCATCGGGAATCGGACAGCTGTTGATGTGCCACAACACCAACGTTTTCTCCTCCCCCTACAACGTTTTCACATCAACCAAAGGTCAGTGCTTCAATTGTAAATTCAAAAAAAAAGCTCAACTTGGGGTATTAGAAACTTGCCTTTAGCATATCTTTCTTACAACACTCAATGTCTGCATTGTACAGCCCGTCCCACTCCTGTTTGACAACCAAATGCACAATCCAGTGGAAATTAGATAGGTATTTTTTTTGGAAGAGGAAACTTGTGACAATAACAATAAGGTAAGGCGTCTAGTGTAAATATATATTCCAAGAAAACTCAATTTCAGATATTAAAGCTTGCCTTTCTGGTAGCAGGGTCATTGTTTGGAGGCTCAGGCTTAATAAGCAGTTTATTCACACCTCTGTGACTAGCCACAAGGTCCCACTCCTGCTTGACAACAACCAACAGCCAAATCCAGTGGAAGTTAGACAATGACAAATTGTATTGATACAATATTTTAGAAGCAAAGAGAGAGATGCTTACAGAATATGCATGCTTTACACTCTTGAGATGCGTGGTGAAATCTTCAACGCTTTGGGTAGCAAAAGAGCATACTGAGCAATTGCAGCGAGATCCACCCTGAAGAACAAGTCTTGTTGTCTCCTGTTTATTATCGTCCATGTCACCTGTGGAAAACAAATAACACTTGTGTGAACAAACAAACACCTTCCAGTAACAAATAACAGCTTTGATGGTTATTTCAAATTTCAAGAGAGAGAGGAACAAACAAACACCTTCCAGTAAGCTATTCCAGAGCCACTCTTTAGAAACACCGAGCAGATAGCTTTTCAAGAGCCCGTCTGGAGCTGGATCTTGAGGCGATGCCAGTGGAGCTGGATCTTGAGGAGATGCCAGAAGAGTTGTGTATCCCTCTTGCTTCATGATTTTAAGTGTAGGAGCTAATTTTCTCCGTTGAGAATGACCCGATATGAGCATTACAGTAGCCGGAGATGGATTAGGAAAGGTCCACCCATACAAACCCCATACAATGTCTGTTTTCGTTAAAAGGAAAGCAAATCTCAAACCTAATAATTTTTATACAAAAATCAATTACTTGAAAGAGAGATGAAAGAAAGAAGACTAACCGTGGGAATGTTGAAGAGCGATTCCAGTGGAAGAAAGCTCTCGCAGGACATTGTCGCCAGGGGTTTGTCTTAGGTCGCCAATGGCAGTGATGGTGAGACGACCAGAGTAGCCTGATTTCTTCAACGCCGATTCTATTCTCCGACGAACCTGACGAGGATCAACACCATCGGGAATCGGACAGCCGTTGATGTCCCACAACACAAACGTTTTCTCCTCCGACAGCCGCTGCGTCGCCTGCTTGGGATTCATCTCGTATTCTTCAACCTAAAAAAAACAATCAGATTCAAAATCGCAGTTAGCCCTTTAATCTAGAAGGTAAATCTTCGCCAATCAAACAAACATCACATAAGCAATCAACGGAATACAGATTGGCACGGTTAAATCAAAAGCACCCAACCTCGTTGTCGAATCTGAAATCCCCACAGAGAACAAAGGAGTGCGACGGAAGGTACTAGGTTTAGGTCAAATCGAATATCTCTACTTACTCGTGGTTGGTTTATACGCGTCATTAGTCACGGACCGAGAACTTTTTTTGAAGTCAACGGGCCCGGCCCAAAACATACTCCTAACATTTTTTTCTTTTTCAAAAGCATATTTATTTATCTGAAGTTAATAAAATCATGATATAAAGTATCTGTTATCCAAATTGGGAGAAAATTTATAATCAGAATCAAATATACAATTTATTAAACTACGTTTGGCTAATCTATGTGCATTCTCATTGCCAATTCTATTAATATGAAGATCTCTATTTGCTTGAATTTTGACATTAAATTAAATAGTGAATATCATCCAAAAGATTAAAAATAATAACATCTATTGTTTTGTTTTGAAATAGCTGGATAAGAACTTGGTAGTCACTTTTAAAGCATATGTTTGTGTATCCCATATTTGATATATTCATTATTTACATCATATTATTATACATTTTGTATTGTTTTATAGTTTTTAAACATTCATTTTTGCTTGCTTTTATCCCATCGATCAGCAGAAGCCCATCAATAGGACACCATCGATCACTTATGATCGATGGAGCTCAGTCCGAACTTGCACTTATTTACAATTTTGCCATTTTTTCTTAGACTCCTATAAATACTTAAAATTCCTAATTTCTGGAAACATCTTTTCTTGTAATTTGAATATTTTCTTGATTTCAATATAAGTTTGCATTTATCTTCTTGCTTAATCTCTTTAATCATGATTAACTATCTCTTTCTCTTTGAATTGATGGTTTTGATGATGATTAGGGAGTAGTCTTTTTAGGGGTTTGAAATGAGTTAGGTTTAGGAAAATTTAGGCTGAATCTATGATGTCTTAGTGTTAATTCTTCTATTTTCTTTCTTGGTTGCTGTGTTTAATGCCTGATTAGCTCTAGCTAAGTTGATTAGGACTTTATGCTCATTTTATGCCCACCAAGTGTTTGATGAAATGCTTGAACTGCTTTGCAAGAGAATTGCTTATCCTAGCTCAAGAGATTGACTGTCTAGAGAGTGATTTGGAAATATAGGATTGATGTAATTGTCTTAATGCTTGATGTTTATCATTTCACTAATGAGAATTAGTTATTGACTTGTTAATTAGCAAAGAGAATAGTGCCAAGAGATTGGATTAGTCTTATAAATGAATTCTATGCATAAGAAATAGCATTGTGTGAGTTTATAAGCATCATAGGTTGAGTTAAGAGTTCCCCAGGAACCAATTATCTCATCTCAAGTTCCATATTTTCTCTGCTTTTAGTTGAATTCGAAATTGCTCTGTTTTTACCTTTGTTCTAGTTGATTTGCTTGCTGTTCACTCTTTGTTTGGTGTTTGTTTCATTTCTGTTTGATCCTTTAGGTTGTTAGACATTCTAAACTATCTATATCTGCTTGAATTAGGATCGCTACTGCATTCTTACTGCTTCAATCTTCCCATTTTGGATTGATGAAACCCTTACTACAATGATTAGTACAAAGGGTGATTGAGAAAGAGACTCAAAACTCCTGTATCAATTTGGTGCCGTTACCATTAGGGGAATGCTTTGTTCAATAGGATTTGTAGGATCTTGAGATCAAGCTTTGTTATTTTCGTTTTTGGTTACTGATTTGTCTTTTAGTCTAGAATTTCTCTTGTATGTACCTCAAATTTTGTTCTTAAGTGTCTACAACTACAACAAAGGTTCAAGGTTAGAGAATTTGGGTTTCCAGCATCAGAACTCAGCTATTGAAGCATGGAAGAACATCAATATGCTGCTGGTTTTGGGTTGCAAGATCCACAAGGTCCTTAAGGGATCCAAGGCTTACAAGGACAGCAAGGTCCACATGGTTTACAAGGAGCTTTAGTTCAAAGACCATTGGGACCTATAGGTGCTGCAGATATACCATAAAGCTATGCTTCAAGAGAAGGTATTATTAGCTCCATATTCTGAATCTCGGTGACTGTCTTGCCCGGTGAATTGCTTATTTTTTGAATTTGTTGATGATTATATTTTCAGTGCTGATCACGTTTCGACTACGCGAAGAATCATCGAGGTGTTGTTTTCTTCTTTGTAGTTTTGCAACTGATCATCTATTTGATTTTATATTCGATCAATATTTTCTTATGTATCCAGATATTTGATGAATTTATTCATATATGCGTATCTAATGAATTCTTTATATGTAATATGTATGTGGTAAGGCTTTATTGATCACCTCGATTTGTTGATCTGGCTTAAACGTTATGTTCTCTGTTTATAACGAATATAAATATGTATTATGTTATTTTTGTTTATACTTTTTGTCTTTTTATTAATGACTGTATATTCGTCGATATATGTCGGCTTCGGTTTTGTGTTGTGTAATCAAAATGTTATTTTGTTTTCCGTAATTGCTTAATGGATATTATATTTTGATTTTGTATATGTTTCTTTAGTTTTTTTCCATGTATATGATTTTGGGTTGGTTTGGTATATCTTATATTCTTAGCTGATAAATATAGATAAGATTATTTTTGTTGAGAATTTTGTGATATTGACTGGATTTTTTGTTTTGTATCGAATGGCTAAGGGTTGTCTACTTTTAATTGGGGATTGGTGGTTGTTACCATGTCAAGTGCCATTCATATGTCTACTTTCGCATTTTACTCGAGAGGTTTGTGTCGTTATGATGTTTATATTCTCATAATTAGTTAAAATTGTATTTGATGTTTTTCTATATTTATATCTAACTATTCTTTTTATTTATTGTGATGTTTAATGTGTTATAGGGTTCTTGCAAGGGTGTGATTAATGATTTGTTCAATGTTGTGTTTGGAGTGTATAGGACATGTTGAGATCATCAAAGATAAGAAGTTCCATATTCCTGAGTGTATATGCTTGATTGTGACTGCCTTGAAGAGGAGTACTTTCGTTGATATTTCGTCGAGATTAATGAAATTAATTGTATTAGGTTATCTATAATTTGTATTTATGTTAGCTATAGTTTGTAATAGTGTTGTGTTCTCTTAATAAATTATTTTCCTATTCTATTTGGTTGTTCCATAATGTTATCTATTATTTGTATATATATTGGCTATGATTTGTAATAGTTTTGTGTTCTCTTAATAAATTATTTTCCTATTCTATTTGGTTGTTCTATGATATCTCTATTGTATTTTTCGTCTTTTTTTAAGATGTCTAAAAATAAGAGGTTGGCGTGCTAATTGAAATTAGTTAGTCTGTGGTATCTTGAACGAGATTATATAAGACGGGTTGTTTCTATGCATATTGATGTATATACGCGTAATATGTATATATTGTTGATATCTTATAAGTCAAAAAAATAAAATGAGATATATCCTGCAATATACTATTCTTATCCATCAGGACATTTTTATATTAGTTTTCCTTTAATTAAGATTTTTTTGGTTAGGATTGTTAGAGATATCATGCTGTTCGATATCAGATATCTTGTGTTATGCTAAGATATTAAGGTCGTTGTCGTTTATACGATCTAAAAATATTTGGATAGTGATAGTGTAGATTGTTGTCGTGGCTTTTTATATTCGATGTTTATTTACTTATGTTGGATTCGTATGGGTCGAATTAATTAACTATTCGTTTTACTTGGGCCCAATATGGTTATCAACGAGTTCGATATAGACAAATAATTGGAAAGCGAACGGATGTCAGTGATTTCTAAAAGAATATTTGTCCCCAAAGTAGATTGCTTACTGCCATATATCGCCTTTTAGGGTTCTTTAAGCCGCATAATCTTCTTTCCTTTGCCGTTCGAGAGGACCCATAGTTAAACTACATGGAGTACCTTTCGATCTTTGCCTCGGTGTTCTTTTCTTCACTATGGATTCTCTTTCTGAGATAAAAAAGTGTTTCGTTCAGCGGTCTGAGATAAAAAAAAGTGTTTCATTTAGCTCTTTTCTTTTCTTTTTGATAGCTCTCTACTCATTTTTTTTTCTTTTATTTTCAAACATTTGGCCATTTGGCTCTTTTCTTTTTTTTTTCTTTTTCTTTTCCTTGAGAGCTATCTTCTGAATTAAACTAGAGCTTTTCATTTAAAACAGTGAGCCTTCCACTTAAAACCTTTTTCATTCACTTCAAAAAACAAACTCTTTTCTTTTTGAAACTGAAAACAAGTAAGCAAAATAAACGACCCCCATGAACCCCAAACCTAACCTAAGCCTAAAACTAGCTTCAAAATGCAAAGCTAGCAATCAAATGAGAGCCTAATCATGTCGCCTAGACGTAACACGTTATGCCAAGTTCAAACCGAAAAGAGGTCTCACAATGATATCACACAAGAACATTTGGCTTGAAAGGAGGGTAAGGGTAATGGTGGGAGTTCTACTTAGGCTCACAAAAGAGTGGTGAAAGGAGGAAGAGAGCCTAAATATGTATATGATCCATGTGTTCATTTTCAAATGCATAAGTATGATAATTAAAGATCAGATTAGGATTCTCACTTACTAGGACAAGATTCAATTCATGAATGTTCAAGTTAAGCCACGAAAATCAAATCAGATGATCAAAGTATGGTTAAAGCTTACTTTCAAAGTGTGAACAATGCATCAAAGAACTACTAACTAGGACCTTGAAACAATTCATGAGCTTAAAACACCTTTTAAAGAAAAACTTTAACCCCTTATGCAAATGTAAATAACCTAAATGCTCAAAAAATTATAGACTCAATCCTAAAATGTTTAACAAAGTGAATGCAACTACATGAATTTTTTTTTTTTTGAAAATTTTTAAAAATTTTACCAATTTTTTTGTTCTTTTCTATGCCTTAGATGCAATGAAGACTCAAGGGATGATAACAGAAAATAAGATCAAAGAAACAAGTCAAAACACTAACATACTCCCCCTAAACTTGAATGACACCATCTCGGTGGCTCACAAGCTCAAGAGGAGCCAAAACACAAAGCAAGAAAAAGAAACGAGTGAGGGACTCGTTCCGGGACTCGATTCAACACAGATCGACTCCCAGATCGAGCAAGACCACTCGATCTCAAGAAAAGAAACGAGTGGGGGACTCGATCCGGGACTCGATTCAAC